TCCAGCTGAATGTGAGCGTCATATCGAATGCGTCCGCTATTTTTTAAAATTCGTTACAGACATAGAGGGTGGCCACATTATCATGGGCATATTTTCTAACACCGATAGGTTGTAGTTAGATTTTAGTAGTCTTTTTTAATGCGTCTGTACTTCATTTTCAAAATTTATTTCAATATAATGATGCACGAATAGTCCTTCCTGTCTCTTCAAACACCTCCTTGTCATAAGCTTAACGGTGGTCGGTAGATGCCTGAAAATATTTTTTATGGCCTTTCAGTTGTCCTTGCTTGCTTGTGTGTGACCCTGATTTAACAAAATGAAAGCTGCTATGAGGCCAAGCATCTCGAGTACACTTCTCTGGAGACACGTAAAGGTGAGTTAGGCAGCTTTCTCGTATTTTTTCTGAACCGTTTCCCTGCATAATTTATCATTTCTAAATCGGAAAATATGAAATCTCTAGTTTTTCGCAAGTTCCGGCGGCCTCCAGAGGAGCAAAGCGAAAACTTCCCCTGCGGCCAAGGTATCTCGTCCTGAGTGGATTTCCCTCTGTAGTCAGTCCTATCCGACTGACGATTGGTATAATCTGTCGCCAAAAATCATCCAACTGCTTAGTCGGCGTCTTCACAATCAACTATACCATCCTCTTTGGCTCATTAAAAGCCGCATTGTCGACTTCTTTTATAAGGTTGGTGGCATTTACTTGAAATTCCCATTCCCCTCCCATTTTTTGTGCACGGAAAGCGTACACCGCATTACGCATTTTGCATACATTAGCCCGCTTCCGTAGTGAATTTAGAACCTGGACCATCTTTATGATTCCTTGTCAGTAACAAGTCTTCTCTGTCCACTTTTCGTTATGTTCTGGGAGAAGTAAAGGACTCGAACTGCTACCAAGCACACCAGGCAGGAGTCCTTTGCAAGAACAACCCTGCTTATATTTTGTGAGTAATACAGTGGCATTTTAAGGGTGCGTGTACAATTTTTTTATAGAGCACCGGCATGTAAACAGTACGGTTTTCAAGGGCATTGATTATTACCCTCACCAAATAGACTGAATGTGAACAGGAAAGACCGCGCCACCTTTACTTCCCTCTAAGTTATGTTCTCTTTACCGCCTCTATTTCCACCCGCAGTTTTTCCATGCTCAAAGTTGCCGCCTAAAAGTATGGTCCTCTGCGCTCACTATCAGCTTTGGAATTCCGGCCTGTTATATTAAAATTTAAAGAGTCCTTTCGAGTCACTCACGCACTGAAACTGACGATCAACTGTGGTAGTAGTGGAGAAAGAATCTTTCAACTGGGGACAAAAACTAGTTCTTTTGAGCCATCTGGTCAGCAGCCAACCTATTATGCTGCATTTTAATTGGCCATACTTTCGTGAGTCTCCCACAGGCCCACATGATAACCCCGTTTCACAGAAATGCTTGAAAATAGTTTTCTTCTAACCACCTTTAAGTTGCTTTCATTTTAGCGCCCATCCCATGTCAAACAATGGAGCAGTAGTCCCCTGTTCTCCGTGCATGATTCTCTCAGTCCCGTAGTCAGCGACGTGCAGAATTTCGATAGCCTTCTGGTTCCACCCGACCACGTCAGCCGACGACCTACCGACACCTACTACGTAAACGCTAATACAGTTTTGCGGAGCCACACCTCAGCACACGAGTCCGACCTGATTTCTTCTGGATTGGATGCCTTCCTGGTTACTGGCGATGTGTATCGGCGCGACGACATAGATGCTCTGCATTATCCCGCCTTCCATCAACTGGAGGGCGTCCGGCTCTTCTCGCGGGATGAAGTAAGTTCGTCCACCACAGTACGACCCTGTTTGTGGTCGCTACCTTATTCTTTGCGCTGTCCGAACAGTTTCGTTCTCTGAAGCTCTTGGTCACAGTCGTTTCCTTTTCTTTACTTTCTTTTTTTCGCCCCTCCTATCTTTGCGTTTGACTTCTTCCAGATACCAGCTCTTCCAGGAGTTTGGCTTGTCTGGTTACTTCCCCAAGCTAAGCGAACATGGAGTGGCTGTTCTTTGGGCAACAAGTGTTGTTACAGTCTCTGCCTGCTCGCAAAGGACATACTATAGTACGAGAAAGTGTAGCATCTTTCAGCGAAGCTAGTGAAAGGTTTAAGATACTGATATTGTCTATAAAGACTGGAGTGCCCCAGCTTATTACTTCGGTGTCACAGATAGTAAAGTGATTCTCCTCCCTTGATTTGCAAGGTAATACGCTGCGCTTTGAGGACGTGTTTCAGTGGTACCTTTCACTTTATCTTCGTGGACACTCAATGTCCAGACTGAACCTTTGCCGTGAATGTGTCGCGCAACGGGTTGTATAACAGTGGAATGATCTTCCTCAATCAGTTGTGGAGGTGACGTCCCTGCGGCTCCTCAAGAAGCGCGTGTATGATAATGAGTTTTCCCTCGACACTTAACTCACGACAACTACGAACAAGAGTTTTTTTAAAAACAGGACTACTTACATTTTGTGAATACTATTTTAGTAATTAGTTATTTTAAGAATGCGTCCACGCGCTGGCATGTAAACAGTAGGTTTTTTAAAGGCATTGCCCATTACCCTCACCGATTAAACTGAAACTGCTCAACAAACGATCGCTAATACCTCCTTCCTCCGGATTCATTTTTGAGTTAGCTCTTTCGTGACGCGATCGATCCCTCGGCTTGTCTCACCCTCTTCGAAACTGGCACTGCCTCCCAGCGTTCTGTAGGCGCGGAAATTCCACCCTCCTTCGCCCTGCCGTCGGATCGTCAGCCCTGGCACTCAATAGAGACGGTTCTTTCTCTTGAATTCCAACTGAAGTCCGTCCTCGAGGAGCTTGCCGTACAACTTTTTGGAAAAGGTAAACACCCAATCATCACCCCGTCACGTCACGGCATTCTAAAGCCTCTGCTGGCTTTGCTTTCGGTTCCCAGATGTATGCTAAGAGCCGAAAAGTAGGGGGATGGTTCGGGAAGGCTCATAGCCTCCGCCCAATGGACCCTCGGGGTACCTGGTCCCGAACCATAGGGCCCAAAGGATTTACCCCAAGTTTGTACAGTAATTTCCTCCGGGGTTAAACGAAGCGCATTGCGCTATGTTCTGCATGGCTTTTTTCGATGTGATTCTTTCCTCACGAGTGTTCTTCGCCGAGGCGAGAAATGGACAAATGCGGTCGACAAAGGGTATCCACTAGATACTGCTTCTTGACATCAGGAAGGTATTACAAACACGTTTCTTACAGAAGAGGCAGAATGGATGGGGAGTTTTTTGTCATCAAGAGTGCAGAGGGACTCTGTTGGCGCTTCCACCTGGGAATGGGTAAAAACTGAAGCTGATGTCCCTCGGGATTTTGTTTACGGCTCACTAATTATCCTGATTTATACGAATGACCGTACGGAGGAGGTGGATGGCCATTTCAAATGCCCTGATAACGTGATACATTTGCGGTAAAAGCATTGACTGAATGTTTGATCGAGTAGACACGTCCACTGTTCTCCTAATGTGTGCTTTTACTTGCAAACGCTGTCCGAAATTCCCCCATAAACGGTAGGATTTTACCAGTGGGACTACAATATAGGTTGCGAAAGCACACAGAAATGAGAGGGTTGCGGATGACTGCGAGTTTGCCTTCGTTAGAACTATGTAAACAGATGACACAGATGTTATGTACGTGATTAAAAGTGGCTGTAAAAGTGCCATGTTGGAGTCTTTGAACTACGTAATGACAGTTCCGACATGGTGGTTAAAGAAGGATACTGCACCCCTCGATCTGGTGCAGTCCAGGATGACGCAATTGGTAAATAGCTTAAATAACCTATTATACTCAGATTAGTTGATTGGATCTTATTTATGCTCCCTTCCTCATAAACAGCTGGGCCATAGTCTACTTTGGTCATTGTCCAGGTTTGCGTGCCTAAACTAAAGAATTGACTTTCGATTGCAGACGAAACCTCTCTGTGGGTTCTTCCGTACAGGGCAGAAAGCGCACCTGCGTGATTAAACTAGATAGATGTATTTTTCTCCAGCCATCCAATGGTGACTGCCATTCTGCGTTTACAGCCGTATTATTTATCATAGAGTTTGCCTTCCACAACCTTATTACCTTAAGCTGTCTATGAAACACCATTTGTTCTTTGTTTATGGCCTGCGCCTAGTACTTCTAATTAACACGAACTGTGAGTTTGTCTGACGGGAGAGAAAGAGAAGGCACTCGACCACTCGAATAACGTATATACTTATATTTTCACCAATGTTTTGCTAGAAAGTGATAGAAAAAATGATCCTTGCCAGTAATGTCGGAAAGTAC